TATATATAAACAGTGTGTAGGTGTTTTGCTTTTTTTAATGTCATACATAGTTTAATCCACAGCATGAACCTCTGAAGATTTATTTAAAGAAGAAAAAAAACATATCCTCCATGGGCACCATGTTGCACTATTATAAGTGACCTGGCAACAACATTTTACCATATTTTTGGATTATGTCCATAAAACTGCATTAAAACAAGCCAAACGCACAGATGCTCCATAGACTTACATAGAAAAGAGAAAAAGCCTGTTTGAGAAAATGGCGGATGGAAACAGTTACTAAGGTATGACTGACAGTAAAAATATTTTAAATGCGGGCTTAGTGATGGGTCAGTTGATGAAGAAACAACGCAATGCACAAGTGCACAACAGAATTAAGTCTTTAAACACAGCAAAACACATTCTATTGCTGTTTGGGGAACAGTGAAGTGTGAACAAGAAAAAACTGCTCTCAAAACAGTGTGCATTGAAGTCTAAATGAAAATGGCTTTATAAATATTAATATTGTAATGAGTCATGTTTTACTTTCCAGATAAAAAAAAAATCTTGCTCTATAAGACGCTTAATTAAAATGATTGTTGGAACGCTGTACATTAGCATGACAATAAGTGCTACAAAACCATCCGTCTTTATTCTGCATATAAAGCTGCATACATTCAACAGAGAATGAAAGAAAAAGCACATAGCTGTAATTAACATGAAGAAAAGACTGGGGATTTAACAGCAAACACTAATTCCATATGACCTACTTATTCAAAAAGCATTTCCGGACTGCCTCTGGTTATAGCTATACTGGATACATCAAAACAGCAAGTTCAGATGCATCTGACACATTGGCTTTCCAAACATACTATCCTTTCATTCAAATTTCTCAACGAGAACCAAAACTAAACATTTTACAACAAAGCGTGAAAGGAGAAACCACGGCAGATGGACTAAACTTAGTCCAGACTAAACTCCTGTCCGTTAGTAATGATGGAATGGGCCTTTGAGACACAGGCCATTAGGCTGGAGGAGTGTGTGTGGAAAATGGGCACCATTTCTCACACACTTCCTCTTCGACAGCACCAGTGATGATACTCAAAGGGCAGGAGCGAGGGAGCCAGGGATGAGAGGAGGATGAGAGATATCCCTGGAAGACTGAGGCTGCCGGACAACAGTGATGGGAGAGGGAGTGTTCCCTTGTCTCTAAGCCTGGATGTTGAAATGTAGGCCAGGGAAGATAGGAAGGAAAATGAGGAGCCACAAAGGTAATGGCTCTATGACTTTTTCATAAATCATGAAATATGGCAGCACAAGATCTAAGGCACAAATGTTTAGTTGGTGCTGCTATAATTGCATGTTTCATCTTCATAAACAAAATAAAACAGTAAGAAAAAAGACAAGCTCCAAAAATGTCAATTACTAAGCGGCCTGAGATATCCTGATAATTACACTATCAAAGATGCAAACTTTGATTGCAATCAGGATGCCACAAGTCAAACTTTACATATGGGTGTCTCCCGACATAAACAAAACTCGACGAATATAAATTAGCCCTATCATACATCTCAGACTCATCAGACAACAATAATTACATTTAACAGAAGAACAACGTCAGTCTGAATAGAAATACACTGGCAATTTACTGTGGAGTCTGCGATTATACTCGCGACACTAATGCTTAGTCAAGGTGAATGGTAATTTGATTATAATGAGTAATATTTAACTTGAGTCATTTCTTGGAGAGCTAAAAAGGATTTTGTTGTCTAATTCAGTCGTGTACATATGCGCGCTCATAAAATAACTACTAAATAATTCACGAAGTTGTCTACGTTGTCGTGCAGATTAACACATTTCCGTTATGAGTCCCAGACGCTTGCGTGAATAACCCATTTCAAACTGTTCTTCCCATGTTTATGTCTACATGAGTTATCTCAGCATAATTATTACGAAACCAAAAATTATGCCATACTGCATAGTGTCCGAATGCATCATTTTAAGGCTTGCGCGCGCATCCTTATCGGCAGACGCGTCTCCGTTTATCACTGAACTTAAATGTCTTCTCCTCAGGAAAAGAAGAAAACGTCGCTAAAAGTCAAACTCTCTGTGTCAGTGAGCCGTAAATGGAACTGACACTGACAAAATTAGAGTCTTCTGTCACATGAGAATCTCTTACCTTTCATTTTCTCCATACTGCGAGCACAGCGTCCTCTCTCTCTCCCTCACTCTCACTCAGTCATTCTGCCGTTACAAGAGTTCTGCACGAGCGCTTTTTTCCTCAACGGCGCGAATTTTGAATTCCTGTGCTGTATTCGTGTCGTTGTGTTTGTCAGTCAGGCGGCGACGGACGGTTAGGTGTGTTAGGTGCAGAAACAGAGCGCTGAGGGTTCTACGGAGAGATGCGCCACAGCGAGCGGTTCACGGAGACGCGGGCGGGCGAATGAGCGAGCGTTAGGTTGGTGAGGTGAGCTCATAGTGTATAATAGTCACTGAGCTGTTTTGAATCAGGGCTCCTCCTGCGCGCCCCTCACGGCAATTCTCCTCCCAAAAATACATGCATTCACGTTTTGCGCTTCGGTGTCGAGACATGCGCCTCAGGAAACCAAAACTGATCGCATCAGATACACGGTGCTGTTGTTTTATCGATATTTCATCACCGACACCGTTTCCAAAGATCGATATTCATTAATCAGGTGCTAAAAGATTAATATTTGACATTCATGCTGCCTTCAAGCCAGAATAAGGTCTAAGCATGTAAATGTCTTGCTGCTAATGTCATTATTGGCCAAGCCTTAGCGGGCAAATTGTAATGCTGAGACGAGAATTTACAATCCGGTTTAAGCGATTTAATCTATAAATACTGCTGGGTATTATACAATATATTACCTGTTGCATATTGTAGTTTATTCTACTATATTAAAACTATCTAAACTTTTATTTCATCCCTCATAAAGGGGTAGTTTTGGAACAACATAAGGGTGAGTAAAATGAACTAGTTTGGGTGAACAATATGATTGTTCAGCTGACAAAATGTATTTCCAAAAAAAAAAAACACTTTCCTGTAGTAAACAAAAACTCCATAAAGCAATTTTTAAAGTTTTAAGTTGTGAAAATTACGTGATCTTGGACATTTATACAGTGCATGCCACTGAAAAGACTGCAAGTCTATCCCTCGCAACCTATGTTTTCATCCATGTTAAATTCTATATGGCGTCTAACCTGACATGTGTGCATGTTTAAAATATGCCCACATTTATTGTATGCTTAATATGTCGAATGACTCTGTTAATGTTTCTTGTTTCATCACATTCAGTTATTAATTCAATGAAATTATAGCCTATATTTTCAAATACAATTTCAAAATGGCGAAATTTGACAAAAAAAGGCAAGTGGCATGCATCACTGATATTACTGTTGGTTGTTTAACATTTCTGTTGTACATTGGTTGTCAGATATTAAACGTTTACTTGCTTCTTACCTCACACTCTTTCACTGTTAAAACCAAAGTGTATGACTGGAAATTCATGTTTGGGTTCTGTGAACAGTAACGCCTGCCTTCTTTAATTTGACTGGCCATCTTAATTATTTTAACATTGATGAGCGCTGTTTGACCACTCAGACCAACCTAAAAATGGGAACTTGTCTTGTCTGCTCACACATATTTGACAAATCTTTCTCGCACAGTTCAGAAACAAACATTGATTAAGTTGATCGGATCTGATTCTTATTAACGACCATCATGTAAATGCAGTCTTCCTTATTAATGTCTGTTTTAAATTCACTTAAATGAATCAAGCGTATAAAAAACCATAAGGTCTGTCTGCTGTCACACTATGACAGCAGAATCAATTTCCCTGGGATGTTCCCAGGCATTTCAGGGATGTCACAGTGCCCTCGCTGTGGGCTTGTCAGCTTTGCGCTCTTAATGGTAGGGATTCAGCAATGTCACTGGATATTATGATAATAGATTACGTGTGAGTTAGACATTATTAAGGAGCACAAAACATTACCCATGCAGCACCTCTACACTGTAAAAAATTATGCCTGCCCTCAGCAAATATGGCTCATTAAAATAAACAGATTTTACTTAAAAAATTCAGTTTTGCACATTACTTAATTTAAAGCTACAAATGTTACATAACGTACTGAGTTTATGGCATACTTTCATTAATACAGAAACACAACAAGTAATTTTGAGTGAAGTTAACAATAAAAAAAATTGTCAAAGTAACACAATTTTTAGGACCCAAGCAGATGTCTGCCCTCAGCACTCATTAAAAAACAATAATAATAAAAAAAAAGTCAAATTAACAATTTTTAGGACCCAAGCAGATGTCTGCCCTCAGCAAATATGGCTCATTAAAATAAACAGATTTTACTTAAAAAATTCAGTTTTGCACATTACTTAATTTAAAGCTACAAATGTTACATAACATATCGAGTTCATGGATTACTTTAATTAATAAAGAAACAAGTAAATTTGAGTAAAATCAACAATACTCAAAATTTTAGTCAAATTAACACTATTTTTTTTAGGACCCAAGCAGATACCACGTGACGAACTGGATTAACTTTGAAACGCGCAATTTGTTGTGGCCATTTTAGAAAACCAGATCTCAGAAGAGAACTTCTCATCCACGGTGAAGGTAAGTAACTGTTAAAGGGGTCATATGACGTTGCTAAAAAAAACATTAGTTTGTGTATTTGGTGTAATGCAATGTGTTTATGCGGTTTAAGGTTCAAAAAACACATTATTTTCCATAT